GATTGTATTTACCTGGTTTCATTTATTTAACGTTTCAAATTCTAATACTTTTTACTAATAAGTTTAAAAGTAAAGAGATTCAAATGAAGCTATTAATCGGGGTGGATTCATCTTATTTGAATGTATAGAGTGATGAGTAAATAAAATGATATCTGAATCACTTTATGGAAAAGGGCAAGTGGTGCGCCATATTTACTGGCGGATCATATAAAACGTCAGCAGACGCAATTGCATTCTACCAAAACATCGCAGACAATGCGGAGTATTTGATATGTGCAGACAGCGGTGCTAATATGGTCCACAAGATCGGAAGAAGACCGGAGATAATAGTGGGAGATATGGACTCCATTGACAAGGAGGTGCTTGAAGCGTATAAAGATGTCGAGCAGGTAAAGTATCGGTGCGACAAAGATTATACAGACACTGAAATTGCGATAGGTAAAGCACGAGACAGAGGGTATAGTGAGATTGTGTTATGTGGAGGTGTTGGGGAGCGGTTTGACCATGCGTTAGGCAACGCCTTCTCATTGATTCGTCTGAAGCGGATAGGTGTTCACATGCGAATTGTCAATTACCAACAAGTGATAGAAGCGTCGACTGAAACGATGATTTTTGAAGGACGTCAAGGGTGGACATTAAGTTTCATACCGGTATCAGAACGAGTCGAGAATGTGACCATCAGTGGCATGCAATATCCATTAGTCAACAAAACGTTAGAAATAGGAGTGTCGTTAACAATATCAAATGTTGTGACGGAGGATTTGGCGACATTGAACTACACGAAAGGGGAAATGCTTGTCATCTTGACACGGCCGAGTTGTCTTGCTTAATTGACTTTTTTACTACTTTTTCTCTAAAACGAAATGATAACAATTTATTTTGAGTTCTTGAGAAAAAGAACTTGTTTGGGATGAAACCAAAAAACCAAAAACCCATCTTTGTCACTGATTTGACTGCTACGCAAAGAGTCGGAACAACACCAGCGCAACGCGCTAACAATATTTCTAAAGACCTTCGACTACCAACACAAAAGACGGCAGTAGTAACGCAGCCAAAAGAGACTTCAACTTGGATCCAAGACAACAAAAAGGAGGATGACGCAGATTCTATCGACTGGTCCTTCCTCGACAAGGAACCGGAAACGATCACCAAGATGGAAACTGAGAACACCCCGATTGTGATAGACACAATAGTAGTGAAGGATGATGTCGATGTCCACAAAATCTCATCAGTCGAAACTGATATTAAGAAGAAGAACAGTGAACTCACAAAATCGTTTTCGACAATTCCTACACAACTTAAAACACCAGAGAAACCACTCCCCCAAACCACTCCACAAAAAATCGAGAAAGAGGAAACCGTCATACAAATGACTGATGTGGATGTTGAGAGTGTGATGAGTGAATGTTGTCGGATGACACATACCCATGGGGTTTTGACGTGCAAAAACCTCTTTCCCATTGTTAAAAAATCACTCAAAGTGAGCAACGTGAATTGTTTAAGTACAGTCGAGCAATTGGGAGATTGCCATTTGTGGCGATTTGAAGCGTTAAAGGAGGTTGGCGCTGTCGACGCACATGGGAAATCGACAGAGAGTCACGAGTGGGAAAAAGACGGGGAGTCTGTTATACAACTTCTGATGACGCTCACAAAGTCTCCAAAAAATCGCATTGCCGCAATTCAACTTCTTGAAGAGATTTTCAGTGGATATCCCATGTACTTACATAGGATGTATCAAGACGTGATAAACACTGAAATAACAGTCGAGAAAGACGTGCTGATGAGAATGATTGATATGCACACCGTCATGCCACTCGATTTCAAACAACAACAAAAAGCATTAGATGACATAGTTAAGAGTTTTTGTGAAAGAAAGTTCATTGACAGAGATGTGGGAAACGAGGTGGATGCTATCCACACAATGTCTTGTGTTGTTATGGAAGGTGCTGAAACAACGTTTACAGTTGTTACGAGAATGGCTGGAGATATCACAAAAAGCGCGATGAACAAGATATTACTGATTGACGACGAGAGGAGTGTGGTGTTGCTTCTTGAGGTAATTTTTAACTTCCAAAGGACAGAACAAGTTGTTCTGAGCTCTTCACAACAAATCGAGTTGGAACAAATTATGTTGAAATTGGAAGAGAAGTATGGGACAGAAGGCCCGTTTGGTGTTTTCAAGCTGTGTTATGAGGTGTAACGGTGATTGATTGATGTTTTGTAATTTCAAGAGTTATTTGATAGTAACGTTTAATATATAGTGAGGGGTCTACCAAAGATAAAAGTTTTGTTTGCTTGTCGAAACAATCATACAACTTTTGTGCATGTTGAGCGAGATAAACACGTGGAATTGAATTGAAAGAACAAAGGAAAGAAACCCTAGTCTATGATCTATATAATCGAAAACACGGAGAAAATGATACAATTAACGGGTTATAACGCAATAAAAGTAAAGAACTCCGAATTTGGTTAAAGAAATTTGAACGATCCCGATTTAGTCGAAATAAAAATATACAATAGTAAACAAATAGTAATATTAATGGGTTGATAAGAACCCTAAAAAAAAGAGTATATAAGGCAATCTCGAAATATAGAAGTGACAGAGACATGGCTGACGATATGGATTTATTCGGAGGAGAACTCACCGCAGAAGAAAAGGCCGCAGAGGAACAACGCAAAGCTGAGAAGGCCAAGAAAGTCAAAGAAGAACCAAAGGGCAGATCACAAATCGTTTTCGAAGTCAAGCCATGGGGTGAAGACACTGATATGGCCGCTATGGAAGCTGCTATCAGAGGCATTCAAAAGGAAGGGCTCATGTGGGGAGCTGCCAGACTTGAGCCAGTTGTCCACACCATCAAAATGTTGGTCATCATGATGAACGTCGATGATGAAGTCAACACCCAGGAAGTCCAAGACGAAATTGAAGAACTCGAGGACTATGTTCAGTCCGTCGATATTAGATCCTTCACTAAGCTTTAATCCAATTGATTTTTATTGATTAAGTTTTTATGTTTCTTCTGTTATTATATATGTGGATATAAATTGAAGAAGTATTGTTACAATTGATTCTTTGGAAGTGGAAGTATTTTGAATGCTCTTGACATTTTTAACTAAAAAACAACTACATAAGAAGTTTTATAATATTTTTATCATTAACAAAAGAAAAAAAAGAAAGTATTCAAATACTGAAAACAAAAAGTACACAAATAGAAATCAGTTACTGGAAGACCATTGGAGTTGGAGGAGTCATTGGAATATCAAGCACGGAATGATATTCGATGCCAACGAAGTCTGCAATTTTTTCACAAATTCTCTTGACCTTTCCTTGCCAGTTAGTGCTGTTATCTATGATGATTTGGTGTGGGTGGATGGCCCATTTTTCTTCAATGGTGTAGTCAAGTTCGGCGGCTTCTGTTGGTGTTTCTCTTCTTGCGGGGTTGCTCTTTCTGTCATAGTACCTCAATGCGCCGATTGCTGTTGTTCTCAAGTGAATAACCATGTCGTATCTCTTCTTACAGAACGAGTCCATATCGAATCCCCCTTCTGTGGCGACTTTGTTCCAGTTGTCCTCAGTCATATAAGCAGCTGAGTCCATACTCCCTCTGTCTGACAAGATAAGTGTTGTCTTTTTGTTTGTAGACTGAGCGTACGTATAGAACTGATCCTCCATGGCAAGCTGACATCGGATCTTGCACAGTTCCCAACACAACCTTTGCCTCTCAGAGCCTTTTGCAGGAAACCCAGCACCAGAGTTGAAGAACATAGTCGAGTTCTCTTGGATGTGGAAGACTTGGATTCCAAGTGGGCGGAACTGATCGGCGATTTGTGTAAGGGATGTAGTCTTTCCTCCACCAGGGCCACCAGTGAGGACAACACGATAGATCTTTGGCGTTTCTCCTGGAGCGCACTCGATTGGGTTGTCGATTAAATTGCCTTCCATAAGTTTCCCACGTAACCCTCCCTTATATATTACCAACCCTTTTCTTTTTTTCAATTTTCTTCTTTTCTTTTGACACAATTCCCATCACAATTGGTAAAACGCGCCTTCTTTATGCTTGGATTGTTTCGTATTCAATATACTCATTCCCATTTCTGCATTCTTCTTATTTTGAGTATGATGAGTTGTGTATCGTTAATATAAACCTCCTCATAAAACAGGAAAACTCCTTTAAAAAATTAGAAAAAGTCAACATGTCGTCTTATTTTTCAAAGTAGAAATAAGACAAAACGGATATAAAAAACAGAGAAGTGGTAAACTGGAGAATTTGGATTTGGCAGGAGACACTTTTTGGTGTAGCACAAAGTGTTATTTATAACACAAAATGTTATAAAAGTAAGAATTTACAAATTAGACATTCAGGCAGTGTTCTCCTTCTGTGCCTCCTCGCTCAAAATGACGCCGATCTCTGCAATAACGTTCTCGACAAAGACACTTCTTTGTGCATTGTAGAACTTGTCCATGAAACAAAACACGTCGTTTGGTATTTTCTTGGACGACAACGCGTGTTTCTTTCCCTCTTTGCCAGGCTTAACAGACTCTGCAAGAGAAACATACCCCGTTTTCGTGTTGTTGATTTTGTCTTTGATTTGCGACGCACTCTTCTTGACGTGGAAGTACCGCTGTATTTCGTCTGAAGACGTTTTGAGGAAGTCCACAAAACTGATGACTCGGCGGTGTGCAAGTTGCCAGTGCCTATACTTCAGCATTATGAATTTCGTCGCGTTCAGGCTCCAGTTGCGGTCCGCCTTCTTAGAACTCTTATCTGTCTTCTCTGAGTCTTGTGGGTGTAGCCCCGTCTTTATGCCCTTCTCTGAAAGCGAGTTGAGTTCATCACTTATTTCCGGGATGATTGTGAAGTATGAGTAGTCACGGGCGGTCAGTGGATGAAACGCACTAGGAGTTTGCATGATCTTTTGTGTCAGTTCGTTGACGATTTTTTGTTAAAAATCTTTTAGAATAGAATTTCTGAAAACTTCCAGTCGATGCTTTATTTCTGGGCGATTGGAAATCCCATTCCGTTGCTATCTTAATCCCTTAACATATCTTGTTTGTGTAAATTTGTTTAAACTTGTTCTTTTCTGTTTCACCAAAGTACCCACTTTTTAACAGGAGATTCGGCTATTAGTTTATTATGTATAAATATATTCATCGAACTTTATTCAATTATAATTGTATAGGTTTTAGTTTTACAACAATAGTTCAATGCAAATAACTTTTAGAGTACAAAAACATCTAACATATCAAAAAACTATTTTCTGTTTTCCCATTTTGATTTTCATTTTGGATTTGTTTTTTCTAAGATTTTCTCTTTACTTTGTCGCATGTCTGTCCAAAAGTACCACAAATGTGTTCATTATAATACATTATATCATGTTAATCGGTGAATTATTCTTTTTTGGTCAATCGATCACAGATATTATCAATCTCAAAACACATTTTTGCTTTCTCGTTTTTTGAGATTCAATTTCTTTGTTTGTGTTTTTGAACACACGTGGCGCTTCATAATACAGTTTTTTGTTCATGTAGATTTTTGAATGCAAAAAGTAAGTGTATATTTAAAGCTCAAAATTGGTTGTTTTCAGTGGATTTTGCGGTTTTTAATGGTAGTTAAACAATTTAGTTCTATTATCTTTTGGAGAACAACAGCCCAAGAGCAAGCTTGATTACAGGAAAAGCACTGTATGTATAAAAACAACACAACCAAATATCACAAATTGGTTGAAAATCCCTATTTATTTGGTTTAGAGATGCCCATTATTCATTGATAAGAGTTCGATTGAAAACAATTATTAAAACCATAAATAAAAAACAAAAATACTTTTAGTTACAAACATTTTATTGTTATAGTTGGATTATTCTGCGTATACTTGGAATTATCTATCAAACTGTTAGGAATGATGTTATTTTCCCAGATTTTTTTTCATTTTTTGTTTTGTTTTATTTGGAGTATTGCTTAATTATTTTTAAAATGTAAATATTGCCGTTTATTGAATGTATACGTTTTTTGGTAAGTTTTTTTCAAAATCGAATTTTATATTAAAGTGAATCTTTTAAAAAGTTGATCACACGACACTTTCTTTTTACAAATATAAAAAACTTAATTTTATGATAAAAGATTGATGAATTTGTTTAAACCACTCAAATTGTCGTTTTATTAATCCCTATAACATTTTAGGGCAATTATTATTGGGAAATGGATAAAATGTTTTTCAAAGAACTGGGAAGTGACTACAAAATTACAATGTTATTTCTTTTGATTTTTCTTTTAGTTGTTTGTGCTTTGTTGATGTTCTGAGGAATGACAGATAGGTTCTATCCTTCAGTCTTGATATTAATGATTTCGACGACGAGTTTGACGACTTCATGGAGTACGCCCTTGAGGAAAGTGATGTTTATGATGACGAATTTGACTTGACCGACACATACTACCCACACGACACAAACCGACACCCCTCAAAGCGTTGGCCGTACGTCATGCGCTTTGAGCAAAATTTGTATTTTGGCGGGTACTTTTAAATTTAAGAGAATTGATCGTTTTTAGTGTTTACTTTGAAAATGGAAGTGCTACAAATCACAAAAACGCTGAATTCAAAAATGCGACGAAAGCGTCGCCTCCGTTGTTGTCAAGTGTCAACAAGTTTTGTTGCAACAATTTCAAAAAAGACCTGCGGATACGATTGATCTCGGCAACAGAAACTTTACGAGGCAGAACAACACGTGTTGCGCTTTGTGGAACAACAATAGGATCTCCACCAACAAACGTTGGAGAGTTGACAACCCTCATGACTACAGCAATTATGTCTTGTGTGATCGCATCTATTTGAGTGACTGCAGTGCTACTTTCCACAGTGTCTTGCTTGACACTCATGTTGATTCTTCCTTTAAATTCACCAAACAAAATTTGACAGATCTTGTCGCAAGGAAGCTCATCCCCAGGTTTCATCTGGAAAAGGGGTTGGTCCCACTTGTGTGTGGGGAGTGGTTCTTCGTATCGTTCGATCAACTCAACTAACATCTCATCGGTGTATTTTTGCTCCCGTGGTGCGTTCCACTCAATGCATTTCTCTTTTGGAGCCGTGACACTGATCGTCACACTTGTTGATGCAATTGACTTACAATGACATTTCAACTCGTAACGAAACGACTTGTTGTAATTGAGAGAGTCAAGAATGACGATGGTCTCACGATTCAAATAACGGAGAACTTGTCCCTTGAATGCTGTTCTAACTCTATCTTCGGTTTGCATTGCTGTATGTTATTATTAGTTGTTTTCAGCAATAGACAAACTGTTGTATGCTTCTTCTCGATGAACACTTAACGTTTCTTCGTTAATTAAAACGACCTCTTTTTCGGGATATTTATCAGAGACGTAGTCGGAGAGTTGTTTTGCAAGTGTTGTTTTGCCAGAACATGGGTATCCGCTGATCAAGACAAAGGGCATTGTCTTTTTCAGTTTGATGACTCAACATTGTTGACTTCAATTTAGGTTTTGTTAAAAAAATAAACTCAATGTCCCGATTTAATACACAAAAACAATTTAAAACATTTGTTTTGGTTTTATTTGAACACGAATTGCAATGTCTAGAACACCACCCATTTTTTTATTTTTTTACCACTTTTTTATTAAGTTTTTTAAAATAAGACTACAAAGAACTGAAGTACGTAAATGGGTTCATATGGCGGAATGCCTGTGTTTCACAACGTTGAGTCGACGGTGTGTTGCACCGATTTGGACCAACAGGTGAGTGAAGGCTTATTATACGAGTTAATGATACAAGCTGGGCCAGTCATGTCAGTGTCGATACCGCGTGACAGAGTGTCGGGACAACACAGGGGTGTCGGCTACGTGGAATACAAAAGCGACAGAGACGCAGACTATTCCGTAAAGATATTTTCTGATAATGTATACCTCTTTGGGAAACTTGTCAAATTCAATCGGAGCAACCAGGTGAGGAGAGGGGCAATCGACATCGGCGCCAATTTATTTGTAAACAACTTGGATAAAAGTGTTGACGAATCGCTCTTACACAGCACATTCTGCAATTTTGGCAACTTGGTTTCTCCTCCAAAAATTAATACAGACACCAAATCAGGAAAGGTCTACGCTTTCATCAACTATGACAGTTTCGACGCAGCAGACAAGGCAATTGCAAATTTGAACGGTCAAATGCTTAGCGGAAAACAGATATCAGTCGAGTACGCGTTTAAAAATAAAAGGGGTGAAAGGTATGGAACTGCTGCAGAGAGGTTTTTGGCACACCATTAATACACAATGTCAATTGTATTACCAATATACACAAATTTAATTAACGAGTGAATTTTCATTTTAAAATATTGGTCAATTAACTGAGTTACTATTTAATTCAATATGACATAAGTGTTAATAGTATAATTCCAATTACTAATGTAATTTTAACACTAATTTTAGTATTAAACAAAAACTATTTTTTATTCTAAGTAAATAATATTTTAAATATAGTATATTTTAAATATAATTCATTTATATATATAATCTATTTCAATATTAATAATTTATAACATATTATTTATAATTTTTATAAACATATATTATTAGATACATACATTAATAATCTACAATTATTCTTTTGATTTTTTTGCTATTTTAAAACAATAACATAATATATAATACAAAACTACAATATTTAATACATAAACTATACCCAATTCATGTTTTTTGAAGAATGAGTATTTAATTACTTTCAAAACAATCAAGCTTGAGATAGAGTGAACTAAAAAAAACAGATAAAAGTATGTATCGTCTTGACCCTTATACAATTGAAAACTCTGCGCAGGAACACAACCAACTTCGTACTAGTAACCGTATGGCATTGTTGGGAGCTGTACGGCACTCAATTCCAGAATTCAAGCCAATTCCGTATAATTCCAACCTCACAAACGACGTTTGTTCGAACACACTTTACCGCATTTGTGATACGACGGAAACAGTGACAGAAAGGACATCCCAAAACTATGTGATATGATCAGATCATCAGATCCTAAAGACGTGATCAAGGGACTCAACTTCATCAACAGAATGATTCAAAACAGAAGAGGGGCAATTTCACTCATATGCCCATGCGGACTATTACCCCGTTTGGCGGAGCTTGCTATGAGTACCGATTGCAGTATCCAAAATTTTGCAGTGCAAATTTCGGCGTTGCTGGCGTCCGAGAGCGATCCCCAACACGACCACCAATACATAGAGTGTGGGTTATGCGCGAGGTACGCTCAAATTTTGTCGACACCGTTTGACAACAAATACCTCAACATTTTCGAAAATGCGGCGAGAGGAATTGCGAACGTCATGTTTAAGTCTGTTCAAAACAGAGACGTGTGTCTCTCGTACGGATTTTTTGAACCGTTTTTCCATTTGTGCGAAATAGTCTACAAAACAAAACCAGACCCGACGATACCCGCAGCTCTTGGGATGGTCATGAAGGCAATCACATATGGGAAACCAAAACCTGATGACGCCTATGCACTCAGTTTACTTCCGTTGGTCCATGTCTTTTCCAATGGGTTTGAAGGGGACATCATTATATTTATGTTGGAGACATTAAAGAATATATCAGAATTTCCACGCCTTGTAGAGATATTAAAGAACAACGAAAATATCCAAAACATGCTTGTGACTAACATGGGAATGCACTTTGCGGACTTCCAATCTATTGTCCTCCAAGTTGTTCAAAATTGCGTCAGTGTACTTCCACAATTCTGGACAGCACTTGACAAACTCTTCGAAAAAGCACTTGAAGTGCTCCAATACTCCGTCTCACCAATATTACCTCAACTGTTTACTTTTATGGAAAACTTCTTGGAATACCCCTCATGTACACAGATAGCCCTAAAGTATTTGTCAGAAAATGAACGTGGTATAGCATTCATCGTTAGTGAAACGGCAAGTCAGTCAACCGACTGCACACGGGCTTCACTGAAACTCATTCGCGCGATCCTTTTGGCAACAAACGGGAAGGCACCTCAACTCATTCAAATGCTGAACAAAAAGGGACTGCTTCAACATATGTCGTCATGTTTACAACGCAATTTTATACAAAAAGATAGTCAGTGTGCCCAACTCATTACGGATACCATTTTCTTGGATTTTAATGTTTGTTTGTGTGTTAGATATGTTTATGTAAGAAAGTAGGAAGTGCATTAATACTCACAACAAGTTTAACCAAGACGATGCAACATTGATTGAGCAATTTGAAGAAAGTAAGGGTGTTGAAGCTCTCGACACGGTTCTTATCTACCAACCACAACTCTTACAAATTTCAAATCAGTTTGTTGTAACATGTTTAAAAGATGAAGGATGTAACACACAGGATAAAGAAATTTGTCTTTACAAAGCCAATACTTATGGAAAACCTTTAGTGATGTCTTATGTATTTTTGTTTTATATTTTTTAATTGGTTGTGAGGTTGAACTCAATACTAATAATAATTACTTCAACACACACACGACGAATCGGACGTGAGTTCAGAGGAGTACTCATCCATGACGATTTGCTTGAGGCAGGGCTTGAAAAGTGACTCGTTGAGGAGTGGAGTAAACGCAGGCATAAGCAGTTCTTTGATCTTTTTGTCGAATTTTGCAATAAGGATGCCATCTTTAGTCATGTTCTCCTGCAAGTAATTGTAGAGAACTCGGGCGTGTTGGGTAATCGACGTGAGATCCAACACAAAGCCACCACAAATCAGAGAATCGACGCGCTTGAGCTGAATGAAAGATGTCTTTGTACCGCGTCTGGTTTGTCGCTCTCTGATATCAACTCCAGTTTGCTTTAACAAAGTGATCATCAAGTTGTTAGTGAGTGTTTCAATGTAGACTTTTCGCTCTTTGGCTGTCTGTCTATCGAGTTTGAGTGTGTCAGTGTTCCACAAAACTTCATTGTTGTAACGAATTGAATGGATGGGGAGTGTTTGCAGAGAGACTGTGCTTTTCTTGTGGGGTTTGTCAAGCAAGACATCAAACCCATTTTGAGTCAGAAGGGAGATGAGGTAGATTTGTTGGACAACTAGGCGGTTTTGAGACTCCCGTTTTGCAAGGAGTTGATCCTTTTTGGTGGCCTCGTCGCTACTTTCGAGAACCATAAACACGCCGTCCTTGTCCGTCGTAAGTGGAACCTTTATGAAGGGGCTTTTCGACATTTGAAAAGTATGAATAGTTTGTTCTAAACATCAAGAACAAGTTTTTAAACGTGCCACGTGTGGAGGATTTATTGAAGTTTTTCAATGACTATTTGAGTGTTTTTATTATTATTTTTTTGTATAAAAACGGGACTTTGTATGTAGTATTTAATAAATTAAATTATTATAGTTATAGTAATGTATAAATACGAAAACAAAATGCCAATACTCTATTAAAAAGAAGTGGAAAAAATTCCTGAAAAATTGAGCGAAATAGAGACTTAAATGAAAAATATGTTGAAGCATTACTTTCAGTTCTTGCTATGTGTTGAAGTATTGAAGAGGTGTATAAAAAAGATGTGGCAGAGACTTTATATATTAATGTCTTGACTTCGTTGTCTTGAGATCAAACAGGAGTAATTTGATGGAGTAACCATTGCACCTACCAGTGAATGTAATGTTGTGGTATTAAACAAAACAAACAAGAACAGTTCCCAAATGGAGTAGCAGAGATAACGCGCTTCTCAGAAGAAGAAAAATAAAACAAATGAGAGCCTGGAATAAGTATAAAAGCTGTTTTTAAATTGTTGATGAACATGTCAGTTGTTGCGAAAGTGCTTTGCACATTGACTATATACCCGTTGATACTGCTTTGCTCTGTTATCAAAAGTGAATCATTTGCACACCCCTTTGATGAGAATGAAAGCGTTTCTTTTAAACCGAAGTGTGTCACAGTGGAGTGGAAAGTAAAAACTTTTGAAAACACTTTTTCGATGCGGAGGATGTGTACTGGCGACGAAAAAACGGAAAAGGAAGTCCAATCTCTGTGTACTGCTTTAATGTAAGTCGTCCCTAAATTTAGAAACACCTCCACTGTAGCATAACTATCATTCATTATTTCATAATTCAGCGACGTTGAACATTGTTTGACGTTGAATTGATCGCTTTCTTTGATGTTGCACACACATGGTAATTCAACATTTGCAACACCAGTACAAACATACACCTTTTTAATAAATCCACAGTCTGAAATGTATACATTTTCGCTTTGATACTCTTGTAAATTATCAAAAGTGGTGAATATATATTTGCACCCATTTGTTTCGTAATGTGGACTTGTATGTAGGATGTTTATTTTTCCTTTGAATGTTATGGAAGGTGGTTCTGTGGTGTATAATGATGGGTAATATACACCATATTGAATGTGTTTGACATCATCCTCCATATTTGATAGCGTAAAAGACGCCGTCCCCATCTCGATAATTATACGGAGAGACTGCGTGTTTGTGGGCCCAAACCCTACACCAAATAAAACAACATCAAGGTCTGGCTTCGTTTTGTAAAAGTAATAAAAAAATTGATTCTTCCATGGCTTGTCTTTCACAACTTTTAATTTGACTAAATCGGGAAGGCTTTCTTTGCCAATGTATGTGGTCATCATGACGTTGACTAACGTTAAAGAGTGTGGACATCCTTTTTCAATTAAGAGTGTGTCCGATTCTACCATAAGACCAGCGCTCCAAACACAAGTCTGATTGGTGTCTCTGTTATAAATAACGCCATCTTTGTCCCAATCGCAGTAAGTGGAACGTAAGGTTTCTATATAAAAAAACAAGAAAAGGATCATCTTGTTTTGTAAATTGAGTTCTCATTATCAATTTTTATTTTTCACAAATAGTTATAGTTTTCATAGTTAAAAAAACTCTACATCAACAAAGAATAATTGGAGTTCATTAAAAGATTGTACAGCCATAACACCACATTCAATGGGCATTTTTATTAATTAAGTTGATCGAGAGATATATAACACGTCAAAGATTCATAAAATAAATAAAGAGGTTTGATTTTAATATTTTGATGAAGTGCATCTTACTTCAGTATTTTTGTTTTTCAAACAAAAAATGGGCAGTCCAAAACTAGAAAAAATAAATTATTTATATTAAAACTGCTTTATTTGAATTTCTTTCAAAACCCATTAATAGTGCTTTATAATTTGGCATCGGGTCGGGAATGCACTTTTTTTTGAAACGAGTTTTTTTTATAGTAAATAAAATAGTAAAATACTTTAAAACAAATCAATGGTATGTATTTTTATACTTTATACAATTTTACTTTTGGTTTACTAAAAATATAAATCAATAAATGTAATTACAGATAGAAGAATTATTGGTTGTCATAGAAAAAGTGGTTGTCATGAAAATAATGTTATTAAAAGCAAAAAAAAAATCGATTTTTTTTCAAAAATTTTCCCAGTGTACTGAGTAAGTCAATTATCAAATGAAATAATAAATATTAACTAATTTGTTTTATGTTTTTATAAAGTATTAAACAAATGTTTATAATGTTAATATTTAAAACTTTTAACAATAATAAAAATTATGTATTTGGAAAAGACTTATTAAATGAAGTATATTTGTTTTTTTTGGTGAACCTTACTACAGTAGGAGATAAAGACAATGAAAACAATAATCAGCACAAAACGTTTGGTTAATTTGAACACAAACAACAGTTTTCATAACAAAATGTCATATTTGTAATATATGTCATATTACATATTGTTTATTAATGAATGTCTATTGATTAATTATTCGTTTTCAACGTTATTAATATACAAACCTGATAATCGTGATTTTTGCTTGTTTGATTTACACATCCCCAACTTATTCATAATAAATTGCACATCCCCCACATCAATTCATTTTATATCGAGACGACAAGGTGCAGTCAATTTTGATTTTGAAGATGAGTAAAATATTTTTGTGCTTTTTCTGTTTTTTATATAAAAATAGTCTTTTTTATTTTTTTCATCCTTTTGACAACCACTTTCTGAAAAATCAATCCAAATCACCACTGCTTTCCCGTAATTTTGCTTGTTAAACAACTAACAATTTATAATTATTAAAAATAAATTAATAAAAATACTTTTTTATACTCTTGACAACTACTTTTTCTATGACAACCACTTTTTCTTGCATCTGTAAATTACTATAAACCAAACCACAAATAACAAACTTTTTTTAATTATACAAAAAAGTGATAATAAAAAAGATAAAAGCTAAATCTCAAATAAAAACAATAAACCATTCTGTTATTTTTCCAAATTTAATTATTGTGAAAAAAAATGTAAAAGCGGGCTAAATTTGCTTCGAAATGCGAACAAAATTGAACAAAAAACGAGTTTTTTTAAAGCACAATTTGGAGTCAAAGATAGAATCGATCTTTTGTGTCGATTGGGACCACCACACGATCCAAGACTTGGGTTGTTGAAGTGATATATCTATCTCAAGACAAATTACGTTAAATGGTTTTCATTTTTTTTAAAGTGGAGTTAATTGCCTAAAGAAGTGTTTTAATAATAAAGTTATAGTAATTTTATTAAATATTAAGAACTTTTCTAAAAACGTGAAACTTTTGGATCGAAAGACTAAAAACGCCACAAGAATGACAACTCTACCCTTTCTATAAAAAATGATTACTATGACTCAATTGAAATACTTTTTGTAATTTGGAATATAGTAACTCAGATAATTAAATAAAGTAAAAATCACATCATACATAAATATGAAGAAATAGACATTGGGGGATAGACATCCACAAACCCGGGATGGTAGTAGTATGATGATAAGAAGGATAAATAATCCAAAAGTTTAAGAGATCAAGAAAAAAGAAGAAAATAAACAGAGAAATCACATGACTACGCCTCTGTCATATAAACCGATAATTGAGGCCTTTTTATCACAAAATGTGGATGACGAGAACGAGTGGGAACGCCTTGAGGAAACAATTCAACCCCCTCTCCACTTTATGCAAAGCTACATCAGAAACACAAAGGAGTTTCTTACTGTTCGCTCGACGGTTCTTGTGCCGTTCAAGCTTGGGGTGTTTGTTGATTTGTTTCAAGATGTTGTGAAATTCATGTCAGCATATCCGAACGTTTGGGATGTCAAAAAGATAGACGATGACCGCCTCTCTTTTACATTGGTGATGAATGCAACGGACTATGTAGGGAGGGTCTATTGCAGGTATAAGCACATTGTCGAGCACAAACGAACTATCCTGTTCTCGTACGACTACCAACTTCCTGGTTTTATATATTATATACACTGTGCGGAGAAAATGCGGGATGGGATCATGTATACTCTCGAGACCAAATCATTGAACGCGGGGTTTGGAAGAAAGGAAATACTGTACGCAATCTCAACATGCAGAAAAAATCTGCATCAGATGGTCGAGTTTATGAAAAAGGATCGGAACGAAATTTTTATGTTGGCGAACGAGCGGCTGTTTAATCAGAAACTCCAAGAGGATAAAACAACTTTGATTCCCGTCCACAGAACTAACTTGTTTACTCTGTTCACAAATAAAGACAAAACAGAACTTTTTGCACAAGGTAAAACATTTTTCAATTTCAACTTGAAAACATTGGTAAATATGTATTCGGGTAACACAATACATTCACCATTATGTCGAACAGTCAAAACATTAAGAGATGATGGGCTGGTTAATTATTTACATGTGAGCACCGGGATGTTGGGTAAAATAAGAGGGGAGAGCGACATCTTCGTGGGGACTATTTTGTTTGAGGGAAACATGTTTGTTTTTAGTGAAACATTGTGTCCACAAAAGGAATGCGACATAAAACACAACACAAAAATAGACATGCAAACAGGTGAGCACGTAGAGTGGTTTGGAGAGTTTGCAACGACAACTTATTACTACAAATTTTTCATTCCCGAATTGAAAAATACAACACCACAAATGTTTAAGACCATTTGCAACAACTTTTTATGCGCTTTCCTGTTGATAAGAATCCGCCTCGAAGGCATTTCACCAGCACTCCCTTTTTGTAGTGGACCTACCGACGATATCTTGGAAAAGCGCATTCTGCAAACCGCACTATTAAAGAGCTACAATTATACGTTGCTGAAAAGGCAGAACAAAATCACCAGGAAACAAATTGAAGACACTCATCCAACAAATTGTTTCGATGAACTTGATAATGAAAGCATCATAACAGTATTCCAGTTCTTACCTCTGCAATCGGTCGTGGCTATGATGCGCACGTCGAAGAGAATGTACTCCATCATCAAAAACAACGAACAAATTTGGGGCAACTTTTATACCCTTTATTTCAAGCCCACATCATTTTGTACATACACAAAAAAGTGTACTGAATTTTGCACCGCTCAAATCAATGCAGAGAAAATGGAGCGCAATAAGCTGAAAAACCAGAGCCAGACCAATTACTATCTTGTGAAGCACGCCTGCACAATCAAAAACAAGTGGACACTCAATAGACCAAAACAGCGAATGTCTGCTCGACTTGTCCAGATGCCAATTCACTTCATCGAGTATTGTCCCAATAGGACGATATTAGTCGGTAATAATACGGGGTGTGTGCTACGTGTCGGCACTGATAACAAGACGGTGATCACACGGACGATCCTTTCAAATGAGATCACCGGCATTTCTCAGTACGACAATTGTGCGGTTGTTTCCTTCAAGAAAGGCGAAATGCGGAAGTACAAGCTGTTTGCAGTCAACGACTTCCAAACATTTCCTGCACTCAAAAATGACCACATCCAGTTTTTGCCAGACCAAAAGTATTTGTCGTGGTGCACAAATTCCCAAAACTTCAGTCTAGCCGACTTTCTCGATGTCTCTCGGGCAATAACTTATAAAGTGAAGAAGGACCTTTTGCTCCAAGTCCAGACCTTTTCGCAAAATTTGGTTGTCTGTTCGACTTCCAACAACTCGAATGTGCTCTTTGACTTAAGGGAGGGGGATGTTGTGTTCGAGACGTTGAGCCAAATTTCTCCCATCAACACATTTGATTGCTTTGACTGGTATGTGGTGAGTGGGTGTCAGTCGGGGTCGGTGTGGATGTTTGACTTACGAAAGCAAGGAAATTTTTTGAACCGAACGATTCACACGGCACCAATCAATGTGGTGAAGTGCTTCAACCGCAAGATAGTGACTGGTGGTGATGACCATCTCTTATCCCTTCTCGAGTGCAACAAAAGCTGGTGTGGTGGTCTCAAGTACATGTACCAACACCAAAGTCCGATTACTTCAATTGAGATGGATGATACAATTCTCATGAGTGGGTCAGCAGATGGGTATCTGTGGTCCTCCTTTTATGAATAATAAACTGTATTTTTGTATTTTTTGTTAGACAAGAAGTGTGTATGAAAAATAATTTACCTATAAGATGATGGACGGAAGTTACCCATGAAGTGCACACATGTCGTTGAAATGTAATAAAATGTGGGCATTGCCTACAAAAGAGGAGGTGGACGTGTGTTGTTTTGGTGTGGTGGGGAAACAAAGACGGACTCTGTGATTGTTTGAAACATTTGTTGTTGCTCGTTCGAGTTTCTAACAGTTTGTGGTGTCATTACTGTTTTCTTGTCATGTCTGATCCCCATCTTTTTGATTGTTTTCGAAAGATACGAAACGGATATTTCAATGCCATCCTCCTTCAACTTTTCTTTCATGTTTCTCAGTGTCATTGAGTTGTCCTCGTCGAAACAGTCTTGAATCTTACTTTGAAGTTCAATATTGTCAGACTTTTTCCGACCTCTTTTAGTGTGGTGTGCGTCAATTTGCTCTGTACATATTTTTTCGTCGTTGAGTAAGTCTGGAATGTATTTAATAACAACGTCCTTTGTTAAGTCAGTTAAAATACAAATTTCTTTGATTGAAAATCCACGTGTTTTCATGTTTCTTATCATTTTCCTCATGTCTTCACTTGCTTCATCCTTCCTCCGGATCTTTTTGATAGTAATACGTTTGGGTTCCAAGTCTTTGTCACGTTTTTTCCAGAGCACACTTTGGTCGTTTTGGAGCTGGTTTGTCGATGGGGGAAGTCCGTCGACAGAGCCATCGTCAAATGATATCGACGAGAGCGACTTGTCCTCCATGTGTGGTTTTGAAGTACTTTTTTTCTTTTTCATTTGCGTTTTATTCTGAAAAAAAGAGGTTTCTCTCTTTTTTAACCCTTTTCCTATTTCTTTGATACTTTTTAGTATTTGGAAAAATCCACGTCGCCCAATTTTTTCCATTTTTGCTTTTTTTACTTTATTGGATATTTCAAACATTATAATTGAGTGAAATAAAAACAAAAAATAACCCTGTGTGACAAGTAACATGACTAAGATTGTGGAATTGAACAACAGAATTAAAGAAGTAAAATCAATGAAAAAACAAGGAAAGCAAAGAAGTGAACGCTATCATTACACTTCCCATCAACAGGTAAGAACTGAAAGATATACGACACATTGGTGCCAGGGTAATACCCAACCCCTTCGCAAATTATACAATCGTTCTCTATTCCTTCATAGAGGTATTTACACATCGTGGTCTGGCATCGGCCATCGACTGTGAGGGCGTGTTCCTGGTCACATAAATCACAGACATCTTTATCATTTGCGCACCTTAAGCAATACGGTTGTGTACATCGATTTGTATTGAACTTCAAACACGATTTGGGATGACCCGAACACGTAATACATCCAGAATCACACAACCCACACGTAAAATTCGATAACATGTAACTTCCTTGTTCACATTCAACACACTTCGTTTTGTCATCGTTGTATGTTTTACAATATGTGTTATCAATAACACAGTTACCATTCTGGAGAATATAACCTTCCAAACATGATTCACATATATGTCCTGTCGAGTAAGTCAAACAGTGCTTCGGTTTCGAACAAAACAACTCTCCATCGCCATACGACTGCACCTCACACTCTCTATTGCACTCATTGCAATGCGCATAATTGTCTTCGACACAGTTGGTCGACAAGCATTTCTCACATTTATAGCCATTCAAGTAATACCCCTCTTTGCATCGGACACACATCGTGGAGTACTCACACTTCTCACAAGATTTATCACAAGCTGTCGATTAGTATATCCCTTTTGGGAGTGAAATAAACAAACGAAGACAAGAAGACCCGTCTTGAGAAAGCCCATAGCCAAGACTACAATTCACACATTTCCCAAAGGCGCCAAGAGGATCATCATTGAGATAATTGGTACAATGGTCAATGTAATCCTTCTCTTCCATTGAGTATTTCAAAGATTCATTTTGAATTCAAATACAAAAGAGGTATCAAAAGGTGTAGGCTACGGAAGTGAGAAAACAAACTAACACAGATGTTGCGTTGCCGATCAATCAAATAACCACTTAGACACTTTTTGCAAGTCGAATTTTCCGAATGTAAATATTCGTGAGATCTATACTCGTAACAATTGGGGACTTCCCCTTTTAGGCAATACCCACCAGAGATGTAATAACCGGGATAACATTCGTGGCACATCCCATCTTTTATGTAGTCTAAACATTTCAATACTTTGGACTCGCAGATATTATTCTCGTTTTTGATTGTTCCTCGTTTGCAGTTAGCGCAGTTGTAACACCCATTTTCAAATGAATTACAGAGGGGATTAATTAAATGACAATCTGGTTGTCACATTTTTGTTCCTTTGTGTTGTGAAAGACAAACCTTCACAGCGATTGGAAGCTTTGTTATACGCAAACCCATCAATACAAGAAGTGCACTCACCAGCTGTATTATACTTGGTGCAATTATCTCGATCTCCTTTGTGTGAGTTGGTCCAATTTTATGTAGAACAAACTCTCGCAATTACCATGGACCATGTTGTAATTTGAATCACACCGAACACACTTACTTGATTGGACTTCATAGCAATGTAACTGACTTTTGTCTTGTGTTTAGAGCTGTTATTTTTAAGCTAAACAAACGTTTGCACTCATCACCAAACAAAATGAAGTCATCAATACACCTCTCGCACTCAGAAAGCACAGAATTAAAGGATGCACAATAAGCGGTTTTCGAAAGTGGATCAGATTTGATATAAGCAAAAATAGGGGCTATGTGGAGCATTGTACAAAGAAATTGTAACATCTTAATTTCGAGTTTTATTTGTTTTTCTATATTTGGTTCAGTTTTTCATATCTATTACAATTTAAAATAATTTAAATTTAATTCGACAAAATAATGAATCAAAAATTCCCCAAAACCTTTCATATCTATCAAATAGAATAAAAAAATAGTAATAATACACTTAAATACAAAGCTGCGACAAATAGAAGGATTTTCAGCATTTGCAAGGCTTTACAACATTGAGAGACTTCACAAAGCAGTTAAAACAGAAGTCAACATTACACTCTCTGCAGTGAAACATTAATGTGAATTTGTCTTTGCCAAAGACAGTGAAACACTTATCACACTTCCAATACTTCCCTGGATAAACAACACCAGGGTCTGCGATGTAAAGAGGATGGTTATGGAGTCCAAACGACGCTATCGACTGAAAGCAGTCTTTGCAGTATTGAATAACACATTGGTTGCATTTGTACATCACATCAGACTCCTTCTTGCAGTCGCAACACTTCCCACGTCCACTGTAGTCTGGTGTGAAAGTGTGCCCAATGTGTCTATGATGCGCAACAACTTGATAATAACACGACGCACAAACATCGTAACAGCAATATGGGCAATGGTACATCAGTTCGTTGCGTTTGTACCGATCACCGCACAAATCACACCTCCACCACCCGTCATATTCTGTGTACTCTTTGAATGGGTCTGAGAGGTAGAGAGGGTGACAGTGGAGAATGCTCATAGGGTCACTTTCACTCAACGTAGTGACAACAACCACTTTCCTCAGTTCATTGGTGTCAGTCATCACCCCTTTCAATTTGTCTTCTCAACATCTCACTTTGTTTTTCTTTCTTTTAAACACAAAACGATGAAAAAAGTCCAAAAACTTTCGTTTTGAAATCTCAAAAAAGTATTGACTTGCAATCCATTTCTTTTAAATAAATTTTTAAAATAAAAACAATTAAATATTTCAATACTTGGAATAGAATAAAAAACCATATCCTATTATAAATTCAACACCAAAAAAATAAAGAAGTCAATGAGATGCTAAAAACACAATTTAAAAATTGAAATGGTAAAAGGATGTCTCATCAGTACTAGACATAAGCACAGTAGCGTCTTGTGAGAGTGGTCTGTTGGTAGAAAATGAACTTCGAGTTCCTTTGTGCTGTGGAGACATTCGGATAGAAGCGTGGAGTTCTCTGTCTGATTTGAAGTATGGTTTTGCGCGTTCTTCTTCGATGTGGCAACTCCTTGTGGAGGTCTTCGATGAACTTCTGGAAGCGACAACAGTGGATGGCACTGAGTCTGAGTGGAGACGAGTGAAATACTCGATAACACCCATTTCATTAGTGAGCAGCATCAAGAAGTGTTCGTACTCCTTGCTAATTTCGTCACTAATGTGTTGGATGTTTTCGTTGTACTTGTCTTGTTGATTTTCGCTTCCACTCACACTGACCAAGTGTTGTTGGATTTGGATATAACGAGCTTCTAAGAGTCCTTGGAGCTTTTGTGTTGAAATGACATTGTACTGTGGCGCCTCTGGAAAATAGTTCAACACGTTAGGGTTTGTAAGGATCGACTGAAAAAGAATCTGACATTCGTCAAACTTTTTCATGTACTTGAGGGAATCAGCCTTGCAGGCGGAAGGTGTTTTCGAGAGTTTTGAAATAAAAACAGGAATGTAGCAGCATAACCGGAAAAACGTCGTCGCCAACTCTCTAAGAAGAAATCCAAGTACAAATTGAAACAATTTGTTGATATAAAAGCGCTCGTTCTCCCATGGGATTGAAGCCAAGTTAAAAAACATTGAGAAGAACGAGACGATAGTGTCGTCGCACGACTTTGAAGAGCAACACTGAGAGATCTGGTCGATCGAAATTGTGTTGTCCAAAGAGAAAGTTTGGTTGGCAAAGAGTGTGGTGTACCAATCCAAATGGTTTGCAAACACTATAATGATTTCTTTTTCTTCTTTTGTTTTATAAACCTCAGGAATTCGAGTAATGAGCTGGATGTTGGAGGTCATGATCTTTGAAAGAAAAAGATTCTTTTTATCCTTTTTCATGACTATAAAGTAAAGCGTTAGAAGTTTAAGGAACTCATAGGGTTGGAGAGGGGCATCAAGTTTCTTGAGAAGTTCGTGTGTAAAAACCTGTGACTTTATCACATCGCTCTGCACCTCCTTGATCTTAATGATAATCTCTCTGGGGATCCGGGAGTTGTCATTTTTCAAAGCCTTGGAAAGTAGTGTTTCTTCCTTGCTTGCGAACAGTTTGAATAACGACATTGCGTACTTCTACGTTTTACAGATCCGTCTCACTTTTTTGAACCTTGTTGTCTGAAGAACATTCCCTGTTTTTGATTTTTTCACCCATTTCGCTAGGGATTTTATCTAAAAAAACTATATTTCATTATTATATTTACTATACTAAACATACACAGTTTCATTGGCCCAAATCGAGAGTTTTTTTCTGAAACCATTACCAAGCCATAAAAAGCTATTCTTTTCGCACTTTCCAAATCAGTGTCTTTTTTTATACCTTACTAAGACCTTCGAAACTCTTCTTTGGGTTATTATGAACAAACTTCCTTCACACTTTTTATTTTTAAAGCATTCCATTTTTTCTTTTGTATTTCGTTCGCTGTTCTATTTCTGAAGCATTTTCAATCTCTTTAATGATTGCCCACTTTTTTTTTTCATCGTTGTTGTCTTGATTTTAGGCACTTTTGGAGATCTGGTAAATATCGCCGTTTCTTAAGATTGGTGCTACGTTTGTTGGTCAATGGAATCAGGTTTATTGATGGTTGAAATGGATTTGCTTTTAACTTTTCGAACAACGGCCTTTCTAAAAGTTCCTTGAAAATAACAATTTAATAACATTTTTAATTTTTTAAGTAGTTTTAAATTAGATTCGGCATTTAAGCTTATTTGAATTTTCAAAATAAAACTGTTGTTAATATTTTTTTGATCCAAAAAACGTATTCCATCACTTGAAATTGATTGAATTTACCTTTATTATATAAAAAAGAAAGGGTTTTGTAAAAAAACAAATTTGTTAAATTTGAGTAAAAAAAAGTGAATTTTGACTTATGTGTCGTATTTCAAACAATTTCTTTTTATTTCAAACTTTTTCTCTTCTTTTTATTTGATATGACAATTAACCCCGATAATTTACGTAATTCTATCTTACTTTTTGGAGATATAAATAGTTGCACGAACTTTACTGGGTTTAAGATACAAAAGAATCAACAAGGAATTATTTTTACTGGAAAAAAACAATTTTTTTTCCATCAGATTTTGTGTATGTTATTTTCAATTTATTAACTTTAAAAAAATACAACAGTTACACAATTATTATTATTAGTAATTATCGAGTTGTTATTTGTAATTTCTTCTGATACTAATTATAAAAAATATATTTTTTGAAAAAAGGATGGTTTGCCAAATGGAAAAAGCCATAATAATTAGGATAATAAATTCTTTGTTGAAGTACACATGTCGATTCTAATATACCAACTACATCTGAATAGGATATCTTACAGTTCAATCGGATTTTTTACCATTGATTGTAAGATTACAGTATATTTGTCTTGTATTTCAAAGTGATGATTTTATTGTATTGTTTCAATGGTAATGTTCATTGAAAATGATAGAAAGACAATTAATCACAGAAATAAGTTTTTACACACTGATTGAGGAAAAACATAACCATTTAAAACGTGCTTTCTTATGAAGACTTCTAATAGCATAAGTATATATCAAAACCGAACAATAAAAACAAAGAAATGTTTTTTTTAATTGGATTTTCGAGCAATCAAAAATGATAATTTGGTCAACCAGTCTGAGGTTGACTTTAAGAACAATGTCGTGTTTGCACAATTTCTTTTGTATTATATCTTAAACGTAACGTCAGTTTTTAATTGTTTGACCACTTGTTGTTACAATACAAAAAAATAAAAATCTTTTTAATAATCATTAATTCATAGAAGCCCGAATAGATACCCTATGTCTCACATCAACAGCAAATATTTAACCAAATAGTATGTTCGGTGAAACTTATAATTAATATTACAAATTTGGTTTGGTTTAAACATTTAAACAAATGTTATATATAACATTTCTATTTTTTAATTATTTTCAAGATGTTTATAATAATTTTATTTTAGTTATTTATTATTAACATTTATTTGTTTCAAACAATTCATTTAGTATTGTAATCAATAAAATTTAAAACTAAAAATATATTACATTTATTATTTTATTATAAATGTAATTTAAATAAAATAATTTATTTTAAATATTTAAAATAAAAATACACATCTTAAATTACAATTTTAAGTGTGTTATTTAATTAGTTTATTAACTGGTATAATACATGTTGGAAAATAAAACCATTTCACAAATAACATTTTGTACAATGTTATTTGTACAATATGAATTATTGAAAAAATGATGTAAAATATTAAACACAATACTTAATGAATAAAACAAAAAATAATTTGTAAACTCAGCACTACTATTTTAAATACTTGTTATTAAATTAAATTATTAATAAATTTTATAATAATTCAACAAATATATTTTTTTTATCAAACTAAAGATTGAT